TCTGCTTCTCCCTCTGACCCTCCCCCTCTCTCTCAAATAAATAAAATCTTAAAAAAAAAAACAAACCCCGAGGTTCTTAGAAGCGGGGACCGGGGGAGGCAGAGAAGGTAGCACCTGCAGGAGTGCTCTGCACCCATCTTGTCTTGCCCTCTGGTTACGGATAAGGACACCGGCTGACACCAGGACGTACGCCGAGCACTAGGAGATGCCCCCGCTAGCTGCAGTGTCACCCTCACGGCGATGCGCCCGCTCAGCGTTGTCCTGTCCTGTCGACTGAGCAGGAAACAGGTGCAGAGAGGTCCCCTTGCCTGGCCCAGGGTCCCACCGGCTGCTCAAGTACTTGGCACCCAGGACTCAGACTTGGGAGCTCCGAATCTTCTGGGTCTACAGGTCCAGGACCACCTTGGCTTCGGAGCTGGGGCTGGGCTGTGGGGTACCCCTTCCCCCACCACCAGACGCTGAGGTTGTGCCCCTGGCGGGCTCTCTCCGGACACAGGTTCCTCATGAGGGTGCTGGACACCTACGGTGATGACTACCGCACCAGCCAGCTCACCATCGTCCTGGAGGTGAGCACGGCCTCCCGGCGGGCTGGGGCTCAAGGGCCGGGGGGCTGGGCACTAGGATAGAGTCTTCCCCTACTGCCCCTTCTCCCCCCAGGACGAGGGCAGCCAGGGCACAGATGCTCCCACCCCCGGCAACGCTGAGAACGAGCCTCCAGAGAAAGAGGGGCTGTCCCCGCCCCGAAGGACGCCCGCACCCCCCGAGCCCAGCAGCCCGACCCCGGCTGAGGGGCCCAGCGGACGCAAGAGGCGGCGAGCGCCCCGGGACGGACGCCGAGCAGGAGCTGTGCTGACCCCAGAGCTGGCCCCAGTGCAGGTGGGACCAGGGCTCCCGGGTCTGGCAACAGTGCTGTGGGGGCTGGGCTTTGCAGAGCTCGCAGGCTCGGGGCTGGGGGGCTGGGGACGGGGCTGGGGACCGCTGGAGAAAGGAGGTGGGGCTGGAAGGGCTGGGGTGGGTAGGGAAGGAGAAAAAGCCGGGAAAAGCCAGGTGAGGGCTTGGGTGGAAAAGGAGAGAGACTTGGAGGAGGCTGGGGGAGAAGGTTGGAGCAGAGGGGGGAGGGAGGGTCAGGGACCGTGGGGGAAGGGAAGGCGGGAGTGTCGGGGTTTTCGCCCGGGTGCACAGAGGAAGCTGAGGAGTCAGAACTGAGGCCAGTGGGCTGCTCACGCCTGTTCCTTCTCTCCCCCAGATTAAAGTCGAGGAAGACTTTGGCTTCGAAGCAGATGAGGCCCTGGACTCCAGCTGGGTTTCTCGGGGGCCAGACAGACTGCTGCCCTACCCCACCCTAGCCAGCCCCCCCTTTGACTGACCCCCACCCCCAATAAACTGACCCCCAGAAACGCCTTGGCTACTCTCTACTGTTTCCACCTCTGATCACACACAAGCTCAGGTTCTGGGGCCGCTTTTCACATTTTATTGGCTCAGGGGAGGGGCCTCCTCCATGTCAGCGGGGGTGCTCACAAGTTCTTCAGCCACTCCAAGCTTGGGCCCTGGGGGTCCTGGGGGTGGCTGGGCACGTCGGGCATGTTCCCATCATCTCGGAGGGGCACTGTGGGGCAGGAGGGTGGGCCACTGAGACCAGCAGATCTTGGGAGGCCCATAAAGGCTAGTCTGTCAGTTCATATTCAAAGAGGAAGGGGGACCCCAGGGGAGAGGTGAGAGAGGGGACACAGAGAGAAGCAGGGAGATAGAGACCTAGAGGCACGGAAAAGCAGACACAGAATGACAAAAATCCAGAAAGGAATACAAATCTGGAACAACAGAAGCTCAAAAGTGCAAAAACAGGAAATGAGTTTCAGGGCACACGGATTAGATCTCAGAAGAAGAAAAAAAGTCCAGCCCACGCTGCAGATTCTCAGACCCCTGCAGAGGAAAGACCTGCCCATGACCATTCCTCCCCCAGCACAGGGAGGTTACCCCACCCCCACTCCTGCTTGGGGCCAGCCCTCGAGCTCCCACTCACCTGGATAGTTGTAGGGCGTGGCCTGGTTGATCATGGTGGCGTATTTGGTGAAGGGGCTGAGGGTGGGCAGAATTACAGCTGTGGAGAGATGGGTGAGGCCCGTGGGAAGGTGGCTTTCATGCGGGGGTGGGAGGGGAAGGCAGAAGAAGCTGAACTTCGGCAAACTATGAGTCAAATACATGGGGGGAGGGGAGCAGGGAGGTCCTGCCCCTCCAGGAGACCCCCTTGGCATTCCGGGATCCCCATTTATCAGCAGAAAGAGAGGGGGGTGGGAGCCAGCAATTCAAGGAAACATGGGACCTAGAGGGCAGAGAGGAGGGAAGACATGGGGGTGGTCATGGAGTGAGTACATGAGTGTAGAGGTGATCAGGGAGCACAGGGTGGTGGGCGAGCGCAGTGTCTTGGGAATCTTCCCGAGGAATAACGAACTGTTACAAACCGAGGAGAGGGGCGGGGAGGGGGGGGTGGTTTGTAAAAGGATTAGTTGCCCGGAAATTACAGTGCACCCAGGGTGGGGGAGCCAGGAGTCTGGGGGGCAGGGGTAGGGGGTAAAAGCAATGTTCTAGGCCAGCACTGTCCGATAGAAAGACATGAGCCACGTATTTGGTTTTACACTTCTAACAGCCACATTAAAAATAAAGTTAAAAGATACAAATGAATTTCTAAAATTATTTAACCTGGTGTATTGGATGTGTGTATTTCCACATATAATCAACACAAAAGAAGCGGAGATATTTTATAGACTCGTCATACTCTCTGCAACCCGGTGTGTACTTTGCATTAGAGCGAAAAGTGTACCAGCTCAATTCAGGCGAGCTCCGTTTCAGGCGCTCAGCGGCCAGTGCGGCCCGTGGCTGCCCTAAGGGACAGCTGCTCTAGAACCTCACCGCGGCGTGTGGCCTACAGACCAGCGGTACCGACAAGATCTGGGGACCCGGGAGATCTGCCCCATCCCAGACCTATACAATGACAGTCGCATCTTAACGAGACCGCCCGCACATTAAAGTGGGAGAATTCCTGTTCTAGAACAGGGGCCGTCAATAGAACCCCTGGGGGATTTTCACAGGATAGGATTCCCCAGCCCACCTCCACCCCACTCAGCTCCACACTGCACGTGCGGGGTGGCGGGCCGCCGAGGGTAAAAAGTGGGTGGGATTCGGACATTTTTGTCGCTCAGGTGTTTTTAATGCACAGCCTGGGCTGAGGACCTCTCCTCTGGGGGATCGTGCACCTCCTGGGTAGGTGTGTACGGGGTGGGGAGAAGGGGGCTCGTGAAGGGGTCATAATATCGGGGATGGGGTGGGCAAGGGGCCGTCGCGGGGGTGCCGACACACGAGGGGACCACAGAACGTTGAGGGGTACTGGAACGCTCGTGGGGAGCGACGGGACCTTGGGGGAGGGTGGGGGTGATGCACGCTCACGCACCGAGGCCCCCGATGGTGAAGGACGCGACCAACACCGGCTCCTTGGCCCAGGCATCCTTGAGGAAGGTGGCGAGTCCTGGGGGGGGCGGGTGAGGAGGGTCACTCCTGCAGGGGACGCCCCCGGTGACCTCTAACCCTCTCGCGCCGCCCCCGCCCTGGAGGAGCCCTCTCGCGACCTCGGCGTCCCCCTCCGGCCCGGAGCCCTCCGCCTCCACGAAGGCTCCGCGGTGCCCCAGCCCCGGCACCGCCGGACCCCGCGCGCCCTTATCGCCCTCACTTACTCCCGGCCATCTTGGTCGCGGCGGAGGCGGTGGCTGCGGCAAGCACGCGGAGCACTCTGGGAGTTGTGGTCCCCGCGCCGGAGTCCCCGCTCTCTGAGTCTGCGCGTGCGCCCCGGCACGGCACTCCGGTCCAGGGCGGGGACGAGGACGCGGAGCGCTCTGGGAGTTGTGGTACCCGCGCGCGAGCCTCAGCCGTCTGAGTCCGCGCGTGCGTACTGGCGCAGAACAGCTGTCTTGAAGCGGCCGCGAAAACGCAGAATTAAGTGCAAACCGGTCTTTTCGCCTAGGAGCCAAAGCCTGAGGCGTACTCCCCGTCTTCCAGCTGCGACCCATCCAAGGCGCAATGCAACAGTCCTCGTGTTAGAGTTTGCTCATGAAAGCCCGTTTTACAGATGGAGAAACGGAGGCCGGGAGAGGACAAATGACAGCTATCATTTGAGATCGCAGCTCAAAATCAGTTCTTCCTGAAGTTTTAACTCTCGTCCCGGAAAGGTTAGGTGTCTTCTGTGGATTCTCTCAGTGCCATATGTGACCTCTAGGGTGGCTCACTTTTTTTTTTTTTTTCTACTCACCGGGTCGGTCTCTGTCTTTACATCAGACTGGGAGCTGCTCTAGGGCAGTAATGGGGTCTGAGTCCTCTCTGTGCCCCCAGAATAGCGCAGCACAGGGTCTGGCACATAATAGGTGCCAGTTTTTAGTCTTTTTTTTTTTAAGTTTAATTGGTGAACGCAACTGGTTATGACTGCCCCTTCTCCCAGGTTTTTCCACAGCACCATGGGGCTGTGACACGGTAACCCAGAGGCCCCCGCTTCCCTCCTCCCTTCCTTAAACAGAGCTCTGGCTCTGACTTTCTGACATTGCATTTCCTGAGAAGTGAGAGGGCAGCTGAGCCCTGGCTCCTGCTTCTGCTCCAGCCAAGATCTGCCCGCCATGGCTCTGGTGCTGATCCTCCAGCTGCTGACCCTCTGTGAGCCACCCCACCCCCTTCTCCCTGGGTCCCAGGCTGGTTGGGGTGCAGAGACAGGCTCTGGGGACCTGGACACCCTGAGTAGGGAGGGGGAAAGGAAGAAGGCTAATGAGTCTCCCTGAGGGCAGGTGCTGGATAGTCAGGCAGCACTAGCTGAGGGTTCAGAATTCTAGACCAGAATAAGGGGACAGGACTTAGATCCTTGGGTCCTAACACAGAAGGACACATGGGTCCTGAATTCCTGTTCCTGGACAAGGAGAGAGTGGGGGCAGGATTCTCTGGGTCTTGAGGCAGGAGGGTGCGAAGGACCTGAACTCCTGGCGATAGCAAGTGTAGAGTCCTAGATTCTGATGTAGGAAGAGGATGAAGCCAGAACACCTGGGTCTCTGGGAAAGGAGGGAGCTGGGGACCCAGACTCCTGACCCCCGGGGAGGAGACATTGTGGGCTCAAATTATTGTCTCCTGGAAAAGGTGGAGTCCAAGGGTCTGATCACTGGGTGTAGAGGAAAGAGGGGGCTGGGGCCAGACTTGTGAAGTAGGTGGGGATTAAGAGCCCCGAGTTATGGCTACTGAGAGAGGACATATGGGTAAGATTCCTGTTTCTCAGAGGAAGGATTTAGATTTCTGAGTTTGCAATGAGGTAGGACTGGGAGAAGCCTAGGGCTTTGAAGAGACTTAGCTCCTCCACCTTCTACAGGGCCTCTGTGTCATGCAGACCTCACTTCAACTGGTGAGTAATATCTCCCATCCATTCACCTGTAAACTGCTGACAACCCATTTCCAACTATTCAGATTTTATTTTGGTGCTCAAACTCATCCCAGATTTCCATATTTCCCTCCCTCTCCTCCCTTTTTTCATCTTTTCCGTCCCTCCCTCCTTCCTTTCTTTCCTTCATATCTTACTCCCTTTAGTGACCAGTGTAGGTGAGTAGTGAAGACCATGAACTTTGGAGCTAAAGAGACCTAAGCTGGAACCCCACTCTCACCATATTATTCATTTACAACTTTGAACAAAACGCTGCTTGCTACTAGTTTCCTTCTCTGTGAAATGAGCTGTTGTGAGGATTTAATAAAATCATCCCTGGCTGGCTCAGTTGGTAGAGCATGCAACTCTTGATCTTGGGGTTGTGAGTTTGAGCTCCATGTTGGGTATAGAGATTACTTTAAAAAATAAAATAAAAGTATTATTTTTTTTAATCACATATGTAAAACCCTTGACTCAAAGCTTGGCATAGTGCAGGGCTCAAGAAATAGGACCTCAGGCAATGCCAAATTAACTCCCCTATTTGGAAGCCCATTTCCACAAGAGTAGGATCCTCCACCCTGAGATAGCCTTGAGTTTCTTTCCAGGTTTTCCAATTGGTGAGATCTCTTTCTCTCAAACCTCCCTCATGATACTACAACTTCAAATAAGAATCGCCCGGAAAACCACTGATACAATACCTTAGCTATCAATTTATTTTAAATTATTATTATTATTTTTTAAAGATTTTATTTATTTATTTCAGAGAGAGAGAATG